GTTATCCAGTAAATCAAAGTCCATTTTTGTACCACAGAAGCCAAACTGATAAGACTTTGAAGATCTTTGATTTTTTTCACCTTTATTTTTCTGGCTTGATGAAACGTTTGGCAGCAGGTGAACTGAAATCATTAGGCAGTGTTTTTTATCAAAAACTGATAAAAAGGGCAAATTATTGACCGCTTTGTGCAGCCGACCTATTTATCAGGATGTTAGAATATTAACCCGATTACTGGTGATGATTACCCCAGTAGGCAATAACCAGATGCATAAACTGTGTCCGAGGATATCAATGTACAAAGCAAGTGTATCAATGATCTAAAGGCTGCTGGGTTATAAATGTGTTCCATAAACGTTCCCCGGTATTTCAGGAACCCAACGACTACCTGCCTTGGGGCATGCGCTGAAAAATGGTCTCAACAAAGCTTCATCCGTTTCAGTGAGTGCTTTATTTGTTACAGAGGACATTTCTGAATAATCCAGAGAAGCAGAAGGTCAGATGCTTGCATCCTACCCTCCCAAATCTAATCCTGGTCATGGTGTAGCGCAGTGGGTGGCCTCAGTGTGAGAATAAAAACCACACGACCGATTCGGTAAGCAGGACCCAGGATGAATTTGTGTTTGTTTATGGTGTGAACGTAGTTACCGGCATGGCTTTGTGACACTGCCGTTGAGCTTTTAATGCGAGTCTGACACAGCTTAACGTCTGTGACCAGACGGGTCACCCCGACTTCCTGCCATAAACGGCAGGACGAAACAGAAGGATCATTATGGAATGTATTCACCCGCATGCACGCAAACTCAAGAGCATGTTTCAGGTCTTTTGATAAAGTCACTTAGAGGAATGTACTAATTGGTTGTTGTCCGTTTTGATGAATGAGAGATGCTCTTTGGTAAGCTGAGGTTACTCTGGGATATCCTTTGGTTAGTGTTAACAAAAAACACTCGATGCTTTTCTGTGTCGTCCCATTTAACTACAAACACCGCAATGCATGCTAAATGCACAAACCTCCATGCCAGACAGAGTCTGACCATTACAACTGAAAAGTAGTGCAAGTTAAAGGAAAATTCCACCCCCAGGTAAAATTTAGTGTTACCATATTGCCCAGAGTTGGATTAGTGGGAAAAATAAATCTGTAATCAGCCCAATCATTCTTTTAACTCTGTTAGCTTTAGCTTAGCTTAGCATGATTGAGGTATTAGACTGTTTTGTGATTATTTTAGGGCTGCTCGATTATGGCAAAAATAATAATCACGATTATGGTGACTGAAACTGAGATCACGATTATTTAGGACGATTTTCCAATTTATGTTGATTTTATTTGTTTTTATTCAGTCATAAAACTGCTCAGGGCACAATCAGGACAAAAATAAGAAACAAGATGATCACTATAATAACTCCTGATTCCCAGTATAAAAAGACCAATATACTTATATCTCATAGTTTATGACCCAAGGGCTATAGACCTTGGTTTAACTCATTTAAGTCTAACCAGTACAGACCCAAATACCAATATCTTGCAAATACTGACAGCAAGAATTATACAGTGGCATTTATAACAAATACATGCAAATAAATTGATGTTCACAAAATGTTGCATAACATTTATTGAGTCGTGTCAAGGTGCTGTAGGAGAGTGCACTAGCACAGTGTCCTCAGAGAGGTTAGTTATCAGCGTGAGGAACTTATTTCTACCTTATTTATAAACTATGTATTTACAAGCCCATCAGTTAATGTAATAATTGTCCCAACCACAGCTGCACCCCCCACCACCCAACCCGGTTTCACAGCAATCAGGGGCAAGCTGCACGTGTGTTTAGCGCGCTGCACGCGCACATTTAGCTGTTTTTAGTGGCTCAGGAGTCCGCAGGTGCGGTGTGTGTGTCACTCACTCTGGTTAATCCAACAGGGAGCCGGCTCTGAGAGCTCTTTCTGTAGCGACCGACACATCACTACATCATTCCCTTTCCTAATGTTGTGCAGAATGGTCCGGAGCACAGGCGGAGTGTTTAGCTAACCTGCAGGAAATGTCGACGACAGTTATCCAGAAAGTAGCTAAGGGTTACCAGAGATGTTTCTGAGATATTCGCTAGGTACTTTTAGGATTAAAAAGTCAAGAAGGGGGTCTGAAAAGCTGCTAGAAATAGCGTCAAAGTCGCTAAATTGGCAACACTGTGGAGGAGCGCTTCATTTGCAACTCAGGGCAGCGCAAGCGGGAGGAGCAAATAATCGGCTTGTTTTGTTTTTTATAATCGTTCAAAACTCAGATCGTAATCGTGATTAAAATTCGATTAATTGAGCAGCCCTAGATTATTTCACTGTAAAATTCTTACTTATTGTACCTTTAACTGATTTGTCTCTCCCATGATGTTCCCTAGACTTCTCTACGATCTCTCTGCTTTAGGATAATGTCAACATGATCAAACAACAAATATGCCCATTTAATATGGATGAAGCAGCGTAAGAAAGCAAGGCAGTGATTTCAGAGAGATCCTGTTAGTTTTAGATCAAGCAATGTAGAAGGCATGTAAAATTCAAGGATCAGAAACTTCCACATCACCATGGGGCCTCCAACACAGCTCACAACAATCAAACTGAGAAGCGATAAACTACCATATGCCGTAGTTTACACGAGAACGGTGAGCTCTGACCCACTCTGTTAGTTTATAATCCTTCTGCTCGTTTAACCCTCTCAGGCTCTAAATAAGTTTGGATGAAAGGACGAACAGCTAAGTCCTTCAGGGGTACTTCTGAGTTAAAAAATGCTCATGAAATATGTACGTGGAGTAACCAGGTAGGTAGGTTTTAACTGTTGGAAATCTGCAACGCCTGCCTCCAGAGGGTTAAGCCTGTTTTTCAAAGAAAGGCACCGTGGAGCCGCTCCGGTCGGAGGGGTTCAGCCCACTAACAGACCGGTTTCTACTCCACTTGAGACCAAACTAAAACAATTTCCCAGACATGACGTTTAATGTTGCGTGGAAACCAGAGCATGAAGCATTCCACTTTCAATAGCAGCCAGGTCTTTTAGTGCTTCTTCGGGCCTTTAAGAAATGACCCCCGTGTGTGTTAAAGTTGTTCAATTCCCTTCAAAGAAAGTGATTTATTGCTGAGACTTCTACTCAGAACACAGTGTGCCGGCACCATTACTACATAAGATCCGTGTTGCTTAGAGGTCTGTTTGTTTTGGCCACTGATGGTCCACTTTAGAAAAAATGGAAACGTTCAAGACAGATGAGCACAGTAAAATTTACTTAACTGGAGCAGAAGGCGAGGTTATCCTTTTAGGAATGGCTCCCACTTCATCCCGCTCTGTGCTGCAGATGGGTCATTCATCACCAAGTCCACAACGATAACAAACTCTTAAAAATGAGTACAACGATCCTTTTTAATGCACCGGTTTTATCAGATAGCGTGAAAAAGACAACAGCCTTGTCAGAGTTTAAATTATGTTTAGGTTTTGCCTCACAGCAAGAAGGTTGCAGGTTCAAATCCCAGCTGTGGTCCTTCTGTGCGACGTTGGCATGTTTCTCCCATACAAGGGCCAAAAACAGCATGTTAGGGTAAATGGTGGCTCTAAATGATCCCTAGGTGTGTGTGACTGGTTGTCTCCGTACGTCCCTCTTTTGGACTGGAGACCAGTCCAGGGTGTCCCCCACCTCTCGCCTGATGACTACTGCAGTTGGACATTAGCTTCCCATGACTGAATAAGCCGTTTATAAAATGATTGAGCGGGTGTTATTTGTGTTTTATCTTTCAATAGAAGAAAGCGATTAATATAGCCCAACAAGACATGCTAACCCTTCGTTCACACCGAGTGCTGAACAGATGCAGACTTGTTTTCGTATGGCTTCCAAACTGTCATCCACACCGACTGTGGTTCGAATGCTGGACATGTCCAGAAATCCGCTCCCACAAGAGCACCAGATGAGTAGAAATTTGGCACGATACGT